CCTTCTTCCTCCTCCTCTTCCAACCTCTTCCTCTTTCCCCTTCAAGCGCCTTCCCACTTCTTAACCCCAAGATCTATAGGGTGTCTTTAGGCTCCTTGACCGAGTGGAAGCCCAGGCTCTCTCTCCTGCATCTTTCCTCCCAGTCCTGTCTTGTACCTAAAGCTCGGAAACTTTCTTTGGGGATAATGGAAACTGTAGTCCAAGTAAAAGATGTTTCTTGCATCCCTCCCTCTCTCCTCTTTCCACCTGCTGAGGCAGCTGAAGCCGAAGGCTGTAGAAAAGGAGAGGAAACCTGGTCAGGGACCAAAAGACAAGCAAGAGAGGATGCTTTTACTTCCGACTTGACAGTGGGACGGGATGAAACACCACAAGGCAGCCAAACGACCCTCCAGATGCCCTGCACAGCTGGCCCACCTGTTTGCGCCTCCTGAAGAGTTCGGAGTGGCTCATGGGCATCTCGGAAGCAACAGTTGATTTCAGGGAGAAGGATGCTGGACATCCCCCCCCCCCGGCATGGCGCCACATTCTGTCCCCTCCTTGAGACTTCATATCATGGCCCTTCCACTTGACGCTGTACCAGCCATGCTTGCTGGGGGGCAGATAGATAGATAAGATAAGATAGGATAGATAAGATAAGATAGATAGATAGATAGATAGATAGATAGATAGATAGATAGACAGACAGACAGACAGACAGACAGACAGACAGACAGACAGACAGAAATAGATAGATAGACAGACAGACAGACATAGACAGACAGATAAATAGATAGATAGATCTGTAGTTCTAAGAAAGAAAGAGAAAGATAGTTTTATAGTCAATGGCCCAAAATACAAATACATAAAATACACAATATCAAAAAACCATACACATATATAATATACTTTAAATATACATAATATGCTTTACACACAGAGAGAGAGCCTAAAATCTTGCTATTACTGCAACTAAAAGCTGGCTAAAAATTTACTGAGCCCTTTCCTTCACAGATTTAAGTTGCATATGCACAAAATTTTGCTACATGAAACCACATTCTTGTATTTGATCCTGACAGCATGCTTGTGTTTTGCCCTCACTACGATCAAAGGGGTATAATATGCCTCCAGGCATTCGGGGACTGAATTTAGATAAGATTCAATAAAAATGTTCCAGTACTCCAGGATAGAAGGGGAACGCATGCAAACGAGCATGAGTTATTGTTTCAATTCCACCCAAATCACAAAGGGATACTGTAGACCGGAAAAGAAGTCGACCAAATAAAAAGTAACTTCTTCAAGCTCAGGAGGGAATGTTATGACACAAGTCTGTACACTGATCTGTGCTGTGGTCAAGGCCGGCTCCTTGCTGGTGCAACATTAAGAATGCATCTTCTGGGGTTATGGCTTGCCTTTGGGGTGCAGGGTCCGTCTTGACTCATGGGGGAACCACCCTCCTGTCCACCAATCGACCTCCGTGAGATACCAAAAGGGAGCAAGCGTTTCCCTTCTGCCGTCCGGTTGCATCCATGTGTGATAAGCAAGGTTTTCAGGGTGTATCGGGGGGGAGGGGTTTGCCATTTCGATGGTCAAGCGGGAATCTGAGCCCAAGACTCTTGAGTCCAGCCATTCTCAATGGCAGGTGGGATGGGGGGGCACAGACCGGAAACAATTCTTCACGCACAGGACTCTTGTCTGCCAACCGACCGCCTCCCCAGGACCTCTCTCGGCCTCTGGCTACCAGCTTGGGGGGGAAGGAGAGAGATGGAGGGATGTGTCCACCATTTTGAGAGACCGTGAAAGGTGGGGCCTCCATGAAGATTCACAGAGTTTTCCCCTCAGGAATGAAGTTTGGTGTGTGGGCGCGTTGAAAAAAAAAAGCACCAGAGCAGGACTTCAGTTGACTCTTTGGAAGACAAAAAATATCACGACAGAAGGACTACAGAACTTGGGCGTTGGCAATAAAGGAACTGAAATGGTGGGCAGGAAATGTTTGTATCCCTGGATTCGACGATCAGTCCAAAGGGAGGCAGCAGCCAAGAAATCAGAAGAAGACGACGGTGACTCAGGAAAAGTCTCTGGAAAAGATAAACAACCTAGGAAAGGTGGAAGGGAGCAGGGAAGGAGGAAGACCAAGCACAAGACGGATTATCTTCCCTCGAGAAGCCACAAACTTTGAGTCTACAAGAGCTGAGCGAGGCAACTGAGGCGAGGCCATTTCGGAGGTCACTCATTCATCCGTAGGGTGGCCATGAGTTACGAGGCATCTTGATGGCACACAGCAACAACCACAACGTATACATTAAAACATGTCTCCCCACATTCCCTTTTCCCCCCACGTCGATTCCTTGGGCCACATTACAATTTTTTCCCCCAGCACATTTTACGATTTCCTGCAGGACACCCCTTCAGTTCTTTTATCTCTTTACAGTGGGTGGCTGGGAGGTTTGTTTGACCCCCAACCCAGCCATTCAGAAAAGGGAAGGACACCCCTCACCCTCCCCAACCGTTTGTTTGAGCCTTTTTTTTAAGTCTCTGCATACTCACTGTGGTGAGCTTTTAAATATTGTCTTTTAACGACATAAGCTGGCAAGTGGCAAAGGCTTTCTTAACCTGCTCTTCGAAGCAGGCATCCTACGAAGGGATCTTATGAAGGAAGGAGGAACCGGCTTCCCAGGAGAGGCCTCTGCTTGTCGGTGAAACCGGTGTGACTCAAGCAGGGTCGCAACAGACAGAGTGCCAGACTAGGACTCCGAAGACCCCTCTGGAAAGCCCAGATTTGTCCTGGGAATTCACTGGTGGGAAGGCCAGGACGAGTCTCCCCTCAAAAGTCTCACACAGGGTCTAAAACCCTATGAGAGGAGACAGTGTGATGTAGTGCACAGCATATCAGAGGAGGATGCAGGAAACCTGGGTTCAAATACCTCGACTGTGGAAACTCACTGGAAGAACAGTGGCCGTGAGAAATCACTTCTGGAAGACATCTTATGTCCCAAAATCTACAACAACGATGTTCACGGAGGGAAGCGGACTACAGTTCAGAAGAGTTCACTCCTAAATGTATATATATCTCAGTTTATAAAGTTTTCCGGTACGTCTCGTTTATTTAGATCAAACATGCGGAAAAAGGACCGGCACACTTGCCTTTTCGACCGGAGAATTTTGGAGTCATGGATTCCCTCCTGCCCCAACTCAAAGAGGTTTCTGATTTCGAATTGTTCAAGAGGCCTGGGATTCTTCAGCAGGCGATTCGCTTACAGCCAACTTCTCTGATCAGTCTGTTCTACCCCTGACGTGAGCCTGTTATTCAATCATTAACTCTTACGGTTTTTAAAAAAAAAGGCTTAATCCTCTAAAATCACCAAATCAAGAAAAGAACTGCTAAGGAAACACAAGAGAAATATTAAATTTACATTGGCAAAAATATTTCCTTTTGCTGCCACATTTCAAAAGGAAACCATGATGTTCTTAACCGTTTTTACTTTTATGGAGAGCTCTGAGGAACTCTGGAAAGCCACAAAAACGTGTTTTGTGAACCTCAAGCCCCACTTATCCCCACATGAATGAAAAGCAACTTTACCCATGAATGTATGAATTAGAGGCAATTCTGCCTTCTTTCATGGGATGAAAGGATGATTAAGTCACAGAAGTCAGCTTCAGACCACTGAAGGTCCACCCTATCTTCTCTTTTTCCTGCCGTTTTTTCCTTGGGCCCCAGCAGGGCTCTGAACATCAGCAGGAGATGTATCCCAAAAGACCCACCCCGCCATCTTCTAGGAAGCACAGGGTGGCTGCAGAAAAAAAAAGAGTCCCACCTGTGGGAACAGGCCCTGTTAGAGGGAAGACCTTACTGAATTTCGCCATGTAAGCTTCAGCCACCCTGACTATCAATATGAAAACACTCAAAGGGCATTTGTGGGAGTTCTCTTTTGCAAGATTCTCCCTAGTATAGTTTCTTTTTGGATGTTTAGTATGCAACCTGCTGTCATGAGAGAATTTCTCCTGCATGGAGAATTAGGGCAGGGAAACCACCCGAGGAATACCACTTCTGCAATACAAGGAGATCTGCAAGCAGGATCTGAAGGCCTTAGGAATGGACCTCAACTGATGGGAAACCTTGACATCTGAGCGTTCAGCCTGGAGGCAGGAAGTGCATCATGACCTCTCCCAATTTGAAGAGACCCCTGTCCAGCAGGCCGAGGAAAACAGGAAGTCCTGAAACCAGCCAAACCAGGGAGCTGGACAGGGGACAGGTTGTATTTGTGTCCCAATTTGAAGAGACCCCTGTCCAGAAGGCCAAGGCAAAGAGGAAATCACAAAAGTAGCAAAATCAGGGAACTGGACAGGGGACAGATTGGATTTGTCTTCAGTGTGGAAAGGATTGTTACTCTTGAATTGGCCTTCTCAGTGACACTAGACGCTGTTCCAAGACCTCTATTCAGAGCATGTTACCATAGTCTCTCAAGACTGAAGGATGCCTATCATGGTCTCATGAAAGCTGATGCCACATCATACCCGTGGGCACACAATCCTTGATGTTATGTTGGATGCATCATGCGTTGCACATCATGCCATCTGCATTGAATGAGGATAAAGCCCGAAACAGTTAACCCGGCATAACACATCAGATGTGGGGAGGAGCTGAGGTCAAGCCATAGCATCGTTTCCATTCTCTGTGGGTTGCTTCAGAGGAGGGAAGGCTATTTATCTAGCTAAATGTTTTTCCAAGTTCCATGCATTTCTACAACTTCTCATCTCTAAGGGTTCTTTGATGTGAACTCCGCTTTCTGCTATGAAGGAAGCTCCTCCCACATTCCATGCGTTGATAGGGTTTCTAACCTGTGTGGGTCATTAGGTGTGAACACAGATCACTTCTCCGACAGAAGCTCTTGCCACATTCCATGCATCTATAGGCTTTCTCTCCTCTGTGGGACCTTTCATGTGAAAGTAGGTATCCACTCTGACTGAAGCTCTTCCCACATTCCAGACACGTGTACGGTTTCTCCCCTGTGTGGATTCTTTGATGTCTAGCATAAGATGAACTGTCACTGAAGCTCTTCCCACATTCCAGGCACTGATAGGGTTTCTCACCTGTGTGGGTCCTTTGATGTTTATGTAAGTGTCCGCTCTGACTGAAGCTTTTTCCACATTCAATGCACGTATAGGGTTTCTCCCCTGTGTGGCTTCTTTGATGTATAATAAATGATCCGCTGTAATTGAAGCTCTTCCCACATTCCTTGCATTTATAGGGTTTCTCACCTCTGTGGGTCCTTTCATGTAAATGTAAGTGTCCACTCTGACTGAAACACTTCCCACATTCCACACATTTATAGGGCTTCTCCCCTGAGTGGGTTCTTTGATGTTTGGTATATGATCCACGGTCACTGAAGCTTTTTCCACATTCCATGCATTTATAGGGTTTCTCACCTGTGTGGGTCCTTTGATGTTTAGTATATGATCCACTCTGACTGAAGCTCTTCCCACATTCCAGACATGTATATGGTTTTTCCCCTGTGTGGATTCTTCTATGTTTAGCATACGATGAACTGTCACTGAAGCTTTTCCCACATTCCAGGCACTGATACGGTCTCTCCCCTGTGTGGGTCCTTCGATGTTTATGCAAGTGTCCGCTCTGACTGAAAGTCTTTCCACACACCATACATTTGTAGGGTTTCTCCCCTGTGTGACTTCTTTCATGTATAATATATGATCCACTGTAACTGAAGCTCTTGCCACATTCCGTGCACTTATATGGTTTCTCACCGGTGTGGATCCTCTGGTGTGAAGTTAAGTGTCCACTCCGATTGAAACTCTTTCCACACTCCATACATTTATATGGTCTCTCCCCTGTGTGGGTCATTTTGAGCTCCTTTTTGGTCTTCTTTGATTTCCAAAGGTCTTTTTTTTCCTGTTACAAATGACTGTTCTTACCGTTCTGTTCTTTACC